TTTCTAGTGGATTCAAAATTAATGAGTGTGACAAATGCATTTATGTTAAGGAGATAGAAAACGATTATGTCATATTATGTCTATATATAGACGATATACTCATTGTTGGTAGTAGTGACAAGTTGGTCAAATCTACCAAGAACATATTAAACTTTAAGTTTGACATGAAAGACATGGGGCTAGCTGATGTGATTTTAGGTGTTAAAATCATAAGGACAACAGCTGGTCTAGTTTTGAGTCAAGCCCATTACATAGATAAAATTCTTGATAAGTTTAACAAGAATGATTCTGGGGTCGTGAAAACACCATTAGATAACAGTGTCCATTTATCCAAGAATCATGGACATGGTATATCTCAGGTGGAATACTCTCGGTAATAGGAAGTCTGATGTATCTAATGAGTTGTACTAGACCAGATATTGCTTATGTGGTAAGCAAGTTGAGTTCACACGAGTAATCCCAGTGCTGAACACTGGACTGCTATAATTAGAGTACTGAGGTATCTAAGACATACCCGTGATTATGGACTGCATTACACCAGATATCTATCTGTGTTGGAAGGTTACACGGATGCCAATTGGATATCTGATACAAAGGACTCACACTGTACAAGTGGCTACATGTTTACACTAGCTGAAGCAGGTGTGTCGTGGAAATCCTCAAAACAAACTGTAATAGCCAGATCCACAATGGAATCCGAGTTCATTGCCTTGGATAAGTGTGGTGAGGAGGCTGAATGGCTACGCCATTTTTTGGAGGATATTCCAAAGTGGGAAAAACCTGTGCCACCTATCAGTATTCATTGTGATAGCCAATCGGCGATTGGAAGGGCACAGAGTACTATGTATAATGGTAAGTCGAAACATATTCGTCGTCGACACAATAGCATTAGACAACTCCTCTAACAGGAATTATCACAATTGACTACGTGAAGTCAAAGGATAATCTTGCGGATCCGCTAAAAAGGGTTAAATAGAGAGACAGTTGAAAGATTGACCAAAGGAATGGGTGTAAAGCCGTGAAGAAATAAAAACCTTAAGAAGGAAAACCCAAACTAGTTGACTGGAGATCCCAAGATCTAGGTTCAATGGGACAATCTAATCATAAAACTTAGTGTGGTCAGTGTGGGGGTAAACATCAACTCATTCCTGTCATCAAACAGTGATATGACGAAAAAGGATAGCAAATGGTTGCTTTAATGATACTTAAGTGAGTAATACTATTTACTCTAGACTTAAGGAGTCACTTATATGAGAGAGAAGTGGGGCCGCTTCAAAGGAGAACTAGTAAGGCTCAGTTCTTTAGAAACTCTTGCAGAACCAGGACGTGTTCATGGCCAAAATAGACAAAATCATGAGAACGGAACTAAATAGAAATGGTTCTTGTGTATTGTATGCGGGTTTCTTTACACAATACAGCTGGACAGTTCAAGGACATCGTGTCTACTGGACAGCTAGTAAAGCAAACATACTTTACAAGGAGGAAGTTCAAAGGGTAAAACCTACTTTCTCTCTATGCAGAGATTAGTTAGTGAACACCATCCTCATCGTTGTATTCGAAACAATATCTCATTCATGTGGGGGATTGTTGGAATTTGAGTTCAAGTTGAATGAGAATTTGATTTCTCAAGAGATTGGAATCGAATGTTGAACCGAACTTTCGCGGACCTGATTAATCCATGTTTTGTTCTGGTTCAGATCAATCCATGTATAATGTCTACTACATGCAGCGTGCTTGTCTAGCATCATAAGTAGAAGTACATATACTCTACAATTAAATCTTAAGGCGGATTATGTAATATTTTAATCGACTCTCTTACAACTGATAGTTAATTTGTTGAACGTGTATGGAACCGTATAAACAATACGTTCAACACAATCCAATAAGCGTAAGTAGCACATCCTAGTTTGACATACAAGATACAACCAATAAACATAAGAAAGAACAATTTGGTGTACAGTTCGATGATGAGCCATGTTTTCCTAATCATCAGCTTCAATTTTTTTTAGCATTTTGAAAATTTTTAATTCTTCCAAGTAACTTCACATTCTTCATCTCTGCTTTATGACCCTCGTTATGGAGATGAAGAGTCGGAGACATTGACCATCTCTGCGTTACCCTTTGTTAATTTCATCAATTGCCAAGAAATCTGGGATTCTAACTACTTATTAATTGCACGGTGTGATAAATAATACAATTATTTTAAAACAGGGGACTAGCAGTTATATCTACTCAAAAAATATACAAGACATTAATACTCCCTCCATTTTCTTTTATATGTCTTTTCAGAGAATTCATCAAAATCAAGAAAACATTAACAATATAGTTAAAATACAAAAGCATCTTTATTTATGGTCTGTAGAATTCATCACAAACTAATAAAAATTCATTATCAATAATGTTTCATTTCTAACACGGGTAATATTAAAAAAAAAATGGTCAAATGTGCCTCGATTTGTTAAAACGATATATATTTAAAAAAATTTACTAAACCCTAAAACGACGTATAATAAAAAATAGGGAGAGTATTTCTTTTTTTCTGACTTTGAAGAATTGAATGAGTAATAATTTGCTGACATTGACTTCATCATCACCCTCGTTATTCTCAATCTGTTGTGTATACTTTTCCGTATTACGTACTCTCAGTATTGGGCATCTTCATACCGTCATTGATAATTCTCAAACTCCGAATAAACCATAGCTAATTGATATAATTAGTCCCCAAAAATTATTTAGATAGATCCTGTCTCGTTTTCCCTCCCGATGGACGTACGGTACAACAAAAATCAATATACACGAATGTTTTAAAATTAGTTGTTATATTAACAAACGCCTATTCACGGCACCAAAAAAATTGAACAAAGGACTACAAAAGCTCAAGAATTAAACCCGTTCAAGCATAATCTAGTTTCTAACGAGCTTTCAACACATAAATTGAAAGAAATAGGACAAAAAGGGGAGTGCGAGAAAAATAATTAAATTATGTAACTTTTTGGACGCATTAGCAGGGGGGTCAAATTCGGCTAATGAAATACATTGGACACAAGTGTACGTTTCTTACCGCCAGCGTTAGAAGACGAAACTTTTATTTCTTGAAAGAGAAATAAAATCATTTTATTATTTAATAGTAAGCCAATTGAATATTTTTTTTCCCTGCTCTTAGGGTTAGATTAATGTAATTAATAAGATAAGCTTAACGTCTTATATATATGTTGTCATGCTTACCACTACCGTTATTATACATCCCAAAAGAATTGTTTTTCTAATGAAGCTAATTAAATTGTTACAGAAACTGCGATTTCCTTCATTTTCTGTTTCGTAATTGTTTGTTCATAAATTGCTTCGAGTCTCTCTGGATTTCTCAATTTGTGGTAGTCACCTATATCAGCATCAATGCTAATAAGGATCCAACAGAACTAAAATTTTTTGAAGATGACGAGTTCATGGCTGACTCTATGTTATGGGTCTTTGTCTTCAAAACTTAAAAACTAAAAACCAAAAAAAAAAAAAAAAACTTTCACTATTGCTAACGTTGCAAATGAATCTGTGCCTAGTCTTTCTTCCTCGTTCTTATCATCTCGATCGGGTATGTATAAATACGTACTCAATTTAGGGACCAAATTTATAAACACCTACTCGATTTCAAATGTATTCAATGCTGTATTCGTAATAATTATGTGATGTTAAAACAACTCACAACTTGATGGAAATTTAATTTAAAAAGGAAAAAGAAGAGAAAGACAAAATAACTGGAGTCACATTGTAGGTTATTGACTAAAAGAAATTATTAAACGGAAGTGGACAATTAATTCTTGGACCAATTTGGCGCCGGCCTCACAATTTATCGGAATAGTATATTATATGGAGATTTGAGAATTTCTACATCCTCATCTTTACATGTTTACGAAATCATTTATTCCTTTTTTTTTTCTCAATACATGCACATGAAAGATCTGCAACCATGACTAATCCTTTCACTAAATTGTAATATTTTTTAATTATTTTATTTTCTGAAGATGATCTATGAGTTCATAGCTCAACCACAACCCTTTTATTTGAAATATATTAGTTTGTAACTAGAAACAAAGCAATTATTCTTATTTTCATCCGTTTCAAATCAAAAGAAAATATTTCAACAATCATGGCTGACAGCGTACTATAGTTGATAACATCTTGGACAGCTATACCATCTTAGCTAGGGATACGTACGGGATATGTATTTAACATATTTGTGTTTATTGAGCAATCTTACCTGAAATGTATGATAAAAATGATAATATCCAATTTAGAAGTGAATAAAATTAAAACCAAAATTCCATTAACTTTCACGCTTAACCCTTTCAAAACAACTTTTAACACGATTGGTACGTTCAAACTAACTCAAGTTTTCAATTTCGCTCATTTTAAAATGTGCAGAACTCGATTGATTTGTATAGCACGATTCATGACGACCTGTTTGGAATCTTGAAATTACCTACCACTCGAACAACTTGCAATTGAACTAAAAGAAGACCTCATTTTTTTTAGCAACTATACAAAAGTGCGTGCATGCATGCGCGCGCCTAATTACTCAAGTTTCTTCCTCCAATTTCCAGGAAACATGGTTGCGAACAACCCCCTATTCATCCGAAGTAATTATCCAATTTAAATTTTCACTTTTAGTATAAATTGTTTTAAAATTAATAATACAAATTAAATTGTTATTTCATTAGGACCAATATAGTAATTCATTTATTGCATTAAAATGGTATAATAAAGTAGATTGTTCTTCTGAAGGTTGAGAGTATATTTATATGTATAATTGCGATAATCGATAAGTAGTCTGTTTTCGGCTCGTCAAGTTTTGTATCTATCAAGCATACGTATGTCTTAGTTTAATCCATATAGGGTGGTGTCTAGAAATAGTTTATCCATGAGAAAATGTCAACTATGTGTTCAAAATCTATATAGCAGCCCCATCTTAATTTGTTTCTTTGTTTCTTTTATTTTAAGGGGAAAAAAGAAAACCAAAGAGTTCTGTATACTTGTGTATAAGTAAAATGTCAACTGTCCGTACGTAGTACTATTCCGTGGTACTCTCCTATAATATTAGTACTAACTTTCCCCTCTCTTAATTAGATATCTGTCCTCCGATTAAAGCGAGAAAAGGAATCAAGATGAAGATGATGTGGTGTCCTGAAACTGCCACAAAGGCATATCTCAACACTGTGAAATATGTAAGCATGATCAATTTCATTATCGTTTCTTGTTCATACCGTCATGAATCATATAGATGCTTTTCGCTCTTGAGTCATTAATTTTGTAGTAAGCAAATTAAAAAGGCCAAATTAATATTGTTTGGGAGATCACAATAACTAATTTTTTCATTGAAATGTAAATACTACATCCTTATTTGGTGTACCCAGATATGTAATGATTATGAGCATCTGACTCAAAATCAATTGACGATGTTAATTATGCAGTGCAATAAATCCGGTACAAAGAATCTTGGTGCTCTCGAGTTCATCTCGGCCATGGCAGCCGGTTGGAAAGCCAGCTTAATAGTGGAGGCGCTAGGGTTCAATATGGATGGCAGCGGTGTTGCGGCAGCCATCAAAAACAGCATCGGTCTCGCAATCGCCGCTTATCACTCCGGCGGAAGACACGTTTGTATTGTACCTAATGAAGAGGCAAGAGTTGACTATATTTGCGCCATGCAAAGAATATTACTCCCGGGATCGGGCGTGATGTACTCGTTACCGGAAGTGGTGGTCGGAAAAGCGGAGGAGGTGATGGAGAGGCTGAACGGCGTTGACTTTCTGGTGGTTCACGGCGGTCGCAGTGAGGATTATTATGGAAGGGTTTTACGTCATGCGAAGTTTGGCCATCTTGGTGCTGTTATAATAGTTTTGCAAAATTCAGCCATTCGTAATATCACTGATGATGACAAGATGGCCTTTAGTACTAATTATGGGTTCATGATGAGATGGAAGGAAGTTCTTCAAAACAATAGAAATGTGGTGAGATCGAGGTTTGTTCCAATTGGGAGTGAAGGCATCGATGTCGCATATGTTGCTGGTCAAAAGTCGAGTTGCTTGAAGAACAAATTAGGCCCTAATGGACGTTGGATCAAATACATCGATCGGCGATCAGGTGAAGAGCATCTATTCCGGAGATGATCAGATTCAAATTATCGGGGGGATTTGCTGATGAATCGTTATAAATTATCCCCTCCTTTCCAAAAAAGAGTCATGATAGTTTTTTTTTTTTTTTCGAGGAGTTATGAAGCACCCATTGTAAAAATGAAATTAACTTAGGCTGATTATCTAATAGCGATATATCCTTTAGGATTACCAGTAGCTATCTAGTTGAACCCATCACGCACATTCTGGCTTGTATAGTTAATTGTAAAACGGCCAAAAAATAAAATAAAGAACCATACAATGTAAAAATTTTTGCCTTGTGAAATTGCACTATTGCTGTATACAGTTTGATGAAGAACCTGTTGTCATCAAATCATGAACTTCAGTTTCTATAGCATTAGGAAAGTGTTCTTGCGTTTTCTACTGACAGAGTGATTTGTTTTAACTACTTGGCATTTGTCATTTATACACGTACTCTTCTTTTCGTACTTAAAAAACAACCTACTTTGAATAATAATAATAATAATAATAATAATAATAATAATAATAATAATAATAATAAGATGTAAATTCCCATTCTTCATAAGGTGCTTTCAAAGGTTGAACTCGTTTTTCTTGGTACCATCATATGCTCAATTTGAAAATAGTGGGCCACATGAAATTGAATTGGCAATGCTACATCATGATTTCTATGGAAATTGAAATAGAAAAGCGTTGTAAGAGTAAAATTGATTTTCTTTTATAAACACACATCTATAAAATAGAAAAAATAAAAAAAAAAAATTGTAGAAGTACAAAAAATCATGAAGTGAAAAAAAAAAGTCAACTAACATTTATCCTTGTAAAAAACCAGATAATGTTACAAGACTTCATACACACTTCTTGCACGTTACTAATAATAATATCTCAAGAAGTGATTGTAGCAAGCAACCCGATCATGATTAACCATGCGTTCATATCAGAAGCCAGAAAAGACTATGTTACTATACATTTACAAATTAACCAGTTAGTACTTTCACTGTCTTAAAGAAAACCTTTAACAGGTCTGAACCACCTCAGAAAAGGAATTTTTTATTTTTTTTATTTTTTTTCCTTTTGACCTTAGAGATTTAAGTAGTGAAAGCAGCGGCTCTCGAATGTGGAGTCTTTGGTTAGATGCTTCATACAGTGATTCTGTAAACATGTTCCTCACCTGTGAACTGATCAACTTTCACAACCCAACGGCTCTTTTTTTGAGCCCCGTGATTCTTACTTCCCTTTGAAAACGATGAATTTGTTGATGATGAAACTCTACTCACCATCAACAAACCCTCCCCAATTGGTAGAAAATGAACTTTAAAACTATTATTTACCTGTGGAACATTATTGACACAGTGAAGGGCATTGTAGGCAACAAGACATGCATTTCTCTTGCAACCACTCAAGCACCTTTGCCCGGCTTCCATAACATATTTAAGATCACGCATTCTGCAATCAACAAGCACGAAATCTGCATCTTGGAAGTACTCTTCCATCAACAAAGACTGAGCATCTCCCACAACGAACTCCACGAATTCCTCGTAAACAGTACTTCCCAAAATGTTCCGGGAAGCATTCAGCTCCTTCGTCCCCGGCAGAATGCACACTGCATGGCCACCAGTCTCTTTTGCCGCAGCACCTAAAGCTATGACAGTGGATAATCCGACAGTGTCGGCGCAGACAACCACCATGAGTTGTGCATTGTTGCCTGCTGCTAGTGCTGCAATGAATTCAGCACTACTTGGCTCTTTTCCCCTCTTCCCCTGAAATGCCAAAGCACTTAGTTGATTAGTTGTTATTAATGATCAAAGCTATAATCACAGATGAGGAATTCATGTATAAAATCGTGAGGCTCTGGTTTCCAACCCGGAGCCTTCACTGCTCAAAATGTAGAAGAAAAGTTAGTTAATTAGTTCAGGCTGTAATGCTTACCATTTTGAGTGTTTGGAGGAAAGCTTTGGTGGCGCTTTCAGTAGACCAAGTTGCCATATTAGTAATTCGTTGTGGGAGAGTTTCTGTCTTGCTTGGCTTTGCTTTAATTCAGATTCAGGTCTGGTTTCAATCTATATATATACCTTGCAGACAGGGAAGAACACGCACACTAAAATTTTGCTGTGTTTTTAGTGCATGGGATAACATATCTAAGGAAGGTTGGGCCTAGAAAGATTCTGCAGTGACAACCTGGCATCGTTCATCGAGATTTTCAACCCAAGAAAAAAAATTATTGGAAGATTAGATCACTGTAATTGTGGCTGAATATTTCAACTAGATCCTTGCCGAGCCGGCCATTAAGTTAGTTAAATAAAGAAAAGAATTTTTTTTGGAAAAGAATAAATATCTCTTTATATAATATAACAATGTCGAATAGAAATAAAATAATTAAAGGGTCGTTGCCCAGAAACTATTTTAACACAATCATATATAATTTATTGTCTTAATATGAACCGTTGCAGGAGTCCATCTTAAGAAATCAATATATATATATTTAAAAAAACAAACGAATGAAGAGCATATTAAATTTTAGTGTCTCGTAAAAACACCTCATGCTACAAAAAATGTAGTGTCTCAGCCCGAGGATTGCCCGGCCAGCTACACTTTATCATGTTCAACTGAATTTCAAATGATTTTGTACTTTCGGTTAATATTAATAAGATATATATATATATATATTAATCAGTGCATAACAAAGCACGAAGAAAATCAAAGACCGAGTAATTAGATAAATAAATATTGTATTTATCGAGATTTGAATTCAAAATCTTGTGAATACAAATTTTCTTTTTAACCGTCTCACCTCCCATTTTCCATTTAGTATACAGCTATAATTAGGGCCTGTTTAGTAGCTTGGAAAGTTGAAAAAAGTAAAGTGAACATTCATGATATTTTAATTCAGAGGAAAATTAATATTTTACTTTACTTTATGATTCTAAGAATAGGATTCTGGAGAATCTAAATACTTTCCCGTATTTGTTTACGTGTTTGGAAAATAAGCTTGAAAGTGAGTTTTTTTTTTAATCTTTTTTTGTCGCATGTAAACCTCCAACATGCTGGTTTTGAATTTCATTTCAAAATCTTGAAACTATCCGTTCAAAATCTAACTACACGAACAACATAAAATATATATGTGTAGGTGTATAATTCTATAATTTAACTAAAGGCATATAATTTTTAGCTAGATGAATCAAGTCAAAACTTTATTGAATATAATAGGCTTAAATTTTAACATTAGATATATTTACCATAGTCATTTTAACATTACAAATTATTTAATGAAACTTGATTTTCTTTGTTAAAAAACTATAAATTTATTTATCTAACATCTATACATGAATGATCAGTAATTCCTTTTTTTTTTCAAAAAAAAAAGTTATTTCGATAAATAGTCTAGTTTTATGTGGCCAATCAAGTATTTTAATAATTAATAATTAATAATGTAAAAAGATCATTGTTTGTTTGCTAACTATTAGAAATATCATTACAAGAAAATAAGACTTATCAGTATGATTCATATTGCAAACTAAATTAGACTAAGTTAATTTTTAAAGAATTTTCAAAGTCAATGTAAGCTCTTTTAAATTAAATCATTTAATTAATAAGTAAATTATTTGTTAATTTTTTCAAATTGAGAATTTTGATATTTTAATATTATGGTGATTTTAAAATTTAAAAAATGAAAATACATTTTTTTAAATCAAAATTAATTTATAGATAATTTTATATTGGACAATATAAATTAATTATAGTGACTAATTTATCTAATCAAATAAGTGTCAATTTGAAAATAGAACATGAGTAAATTAAAAAATAAATAATTAGTATGATAAAAAATGGTATGAAGACTAGACAAAAAAATGTATAGAAGTTTAGAATTCAAAGGAAAATAAAAAGAATTACAATCCTGGAATTTTGCACTTATTTTCCTGGACTTTCTTTAACTTTAGGAATCTTTTTACTTTCCTATAACTGAACAAACATTGAAATTTAATTTGGAAAATGATTACTTTCCTGAACAAACCAAACATGAAAATTTAAAAATAAGGAAAAAGATTACATTCCCACCTAGATTCCAAGAAAACCAAACAGGCCCTTAAGGGATTAGTTAGTAGCTATAATCAAGGGATTTATTTATTTATTTATTTATTCCATCTTTTTTTCTGAATAGTAAGAGTGTCATATGTCAAAAATAATTTTGTACTGAAAATAACTTTTGGCGGGAAAATTTTCACTGTAATTTTGACACATCACCAACTTGTATGCTGCTTTAATTAAGTACTAGATGCTTGCCCGGGGCAAATGCCCGGGGCGTCTTCCCACCTAATAAATTAATATGTAAATAATTAAAACTGATTAGAAATGAATAAATACCCGGGGGCGTCGTCCCACCTAATACATTAATATGTAAATAATAAAAAATGATTAGGAATAAATTTAATTTTTAATGAAGATAATTGATTTGTCGAAAATTAATTTTTTCAAAAATCCTAAATAAGTGGAGAATGAAAGTTCCATTTACTGTCAAATTCAAAATTTGAATGAACATGGACATCTGATCTCTTTGTTAATATTGTAAATATATTTTTTGTTTTTAAAAGAGGGTGACACGTGGCAGAATGGTTTATGCAATATGGTGCATTTGGAGCCAAAACCTTTTAATAAGAAATTACCACATCAGCATCCTGTTTCCTGCTTTAATAGGGTAAAAGGGATTATAAATATGTTTATTGCGGTTTCACGATAAGGATGGATAAGGGCGGGTTTTGGAATAATAAAATGAGGGTTTAGTCAAATGTGACTGATGGTTGTGAAGTTTACACACTATGGTAGGTATACCTTGACCTTGTAAAAGAAAGAAAAACATTTGTGATGATTCTCACCTATCATATAGTAACAAATCGATCACTTATTGAGTTTCAATATTATAGAGAAAAAAAAAAGTCATAGTGATTTTGAGAGTATCGTTTATGAAAAAGTAAAAGAAGAACTTAAAATATGCATGACTTCCTAATAGACTTGAGTAAAATTACAAGGAAAAGCGAAAGCAAAATATGAAGAAATGAGGTTACGAGGCTATTGTTCCTAAAATTAGATGAAAGCATTAATAATATAGTATTGAGAAATGAACAAGAAAAAAAAAATCATCAATAAACCATGATTTCAAACAGAGAACGCATAAGAATGGAAAGATCGATGCACTTTCGGCAGGGTTTTACCTCAAAACTGTCTAGCAAATGTCCATGTTCATCCAGGCAGGTACCATTAGAGTTGGATCTTATACTAGATAGGTTATTTACTGCAGAAAGCCAGAAACATGTTTTGGGCGGTTCAAAAGTCAAAAGAATCTTTGATGACATTTTTGCATTACCAATAAACTCCGAGGATATTTTTGTTACTACTTACAAAGCTCCATTGGTTTTTGCTTGCTAGGTCCGACTTCTGAGTCCATTATTTATTATTAAACATTCACCCACAGATTCATCGAAACGGGAACACACCATTTATGTTACTCCCTTCCTTCCAAAATAGTGTCGTTTTGACAAAATGGAGAAATTTCAAAATAAATGTCGTTTTTGGATTCCAATGTATTTTTTGTCAAAAATTTTCGAACATACCCTCAAAAAAAAATATTATCAGTGAGCATTTATTTTAATGGAGTTGGTTGAGGACATTCTAGTAATTTAGTTATCCTTTTTAATGTTTCTTAAACTGTACACAAATTCTAGAATGACGCTTATTTTGAAACGGATGGATGGAATACTTCTTTCGTCCCATTTTAATATCACATACGAGCATATTAAGAATGGAGCCATAACACAAAAGACAAAATAACATCTAAATATTCCAGTTCCTAATACATCAAACTATTTTCTTAAAATATCATTTGATGTCAATAACTCATTGTTATACGACTACTTTTTAGAAGTTAGAAAATGATGTCTAAACTTCTGAATATCACCTCTAACAGATTATTAGTGCATTTTGTGATAAATAAAAATACCATGGTAAAAAAAAAAAGAAAAGAAAATCACAATACAGAAGATAATTTGCGAAAGGGGAAAGATGTATAGACGTACCTCTCTCCCAACATATCATTAGAACAATTTGAAGTCCAACAACATGTTTCCTCATTAATTACGGTATTAGACAGCCATGCCAAACCGGCCACCCACCTTCCCTCCACCACAAATGTATGAAAAATATTTGATGCTCAGCTGTTTTCTCTGCAGTAATCTAATGATACTGAAACTTCCCTGTTGCTTCATGAGGCATTTCTTCACATTGGATTAAGGGGAACTCATATGCTAATCCAGAGTCACCATTTCTAATCACTTGTCTCTCGCATCATCTTTTGTTATGGCTTTTATTTAACAAGAATACCTAGAGAACATGTGTAGATAACACCATCATCAAACATGCCAGAAAATTGAAAAGCTAGTCCGAAGTAATTAACTTGTGCTAATTGCTTTACTAGTAATGATATTCACAACGAACAAATGATACGCTGTGAATAACGAACAAATGATACGCTTAATGATTGACAGGTAGGTGGTGATAAGTATATGACAATGAGCTCGTGAATGGAGCACCGAAGGTAAAAGTGTAGGTATCAGATGTAAAATAGTCGAACAGTGACTTAAAAAAAAACACATAACACAGTTTGAACACAGAACTCTAACTATGGAATGGATAAGTGTTGCTGAAGTATTACCTGTCCAAATTGGGTCCTCCACTCTTTTACTGGTTTGAAATTTGCCAGTGCTACTGCGGAACACTCTTTTACTGGTTTCAACCAGTTACCAGGTCAGATGCTGCAGCTCTATGATTAAGAGACACAGTTGCTCAATGGTCATTAGTTAAAGCTTCCATGATCCTGATTGATCACACACAATGCAATTAGAAAACAATTCAACTGTCGCAAATTTCCACACCAAACAGGCCACGAAATATGCTGATGAAATATATGGAATCTGGTGGACTCTTCTCTTCCAAATCTTAACTTTAAATGATAAAATAGACACCCACCATAGCCTGATTACAAAAGCGCATATGACAAAAAAAAGAAACAAAGAAAGAACTGAGCTTTAAACACAAATGAAAAGCAGAAAACAACAAAAATGAAGGGTAGCCTGTTCAAGTAAACTATGGGTTGATCTTTCATCACTTGTAAGATACTAAAAATGAGAAACTTCAACTCTCAGTGTCAAGCATGTCTTAGTCAAACTACCTCCACAAGACATGCACTCAATATACCTTGAGACCAAACCTTGGATAAACAATTCACTTGTTCAAGTGCATAAAATTGTATATCTAAATCCAACAACTTCCAGTTAAATCAGAATTGAACTTCTACTGAAAGGGAAAATGGAAACTGGAGTACAAATTTGTAGCTCACACCAAGTTACATGTAAGATGCAAAACGATGATGTCAAAACTCACAAGCCCGGTTGAGCTCACTGTTTCATATGTAAACGAGCAACACTAGGGTACATTACTGAATGACTGAAAGAGTACCAAAACTTCTTGATGCTCTTTGGTTATATTATAAAATCGAACAGGAAAAGGAAGAACGCACCAATTTTCAAAACTGAACCTTTGGCTCAATAGTAAAGAGACAGAGGGCTTTACAGCTACAACTGGGTTATACAGGATTTCTCAATATCTGTATCAGGAAATCAGCTACAAAATTCCTACTTTGGAGTTAGAACTTACTATTTTAAACAAAGTTTCATTGCTGCACCTCAATTTGGGTCTACATTGTAAATTGTAGCAGATATGATCTCGTTAAAGACCTTATACAAGCCGATATATTCTGTCATTCCCTGTCACTAAACTGCATCTCTTTTAGAGTTCATCTTCAAAACTATCAAGGCCAGTAATCAGCTCGGATTCTCTGGTAATTCCTTCCAAAACAATGTGAGCATCACCATATACAGGAAGTGATTGAGTTTCGGCAAGAAATTCATGAACAACACCATTCACTTCGACCCAGCTACACCCAGGTTTTTTCTTTATACTTTGATCCCTCATCATCTTCCCCACTCTGGAAGCATCTTTCCACATTTTTTTCCTGCGGTACAGATTCCAAAGAAGGATACACACACCATCATCTTCAGGTTCCAGTTCGAGGACTTTCTTTCCAGCCATTTCAGCTAAGTCCAAATTATTGTGTCCTAAACAAGCACTCAAAAGTGATCTCCATATAACGGCATCTGGCTTCAGCGGCATGTCCTCAATCAACCTTATAACTTCCTCAAAAAACCCTGCTCGACCAAGAAGATCAACCATACACCCATAATGTTCCAACTTTGGTTCATAGCTAGGAGAATTTCTCATCTTCATAAAAAACCTCTGCCCCTCATCAACCAAGCCCGCATGGGCACAAGCAGAAAGTACAGACAGAAATGTAACCTCATTAGGGGTCATCCCAGATGCGACCATCACGTAGAAATGCTCAAGAGCATCCTTTCCCCTACCATTATATGCCAACCCAGAGATTATACTCGTCCACGAAAATAAATCCTTATTTACCATATTATTGAATATAACTTTGGCTGATTGAAGGTCCCCGCTCTTTGCATACATATCAATGAGCCCATTGTTTACAGCAACATCTGTGGTCAACCCAGTAAGTTTGTTAACAAACCCGTGAATACACTTCCCAGAATCAAGAGCTCCTATATCGGCACAACCTGATAGCACAGCAACAATGGTGATTGTGGTAGGACTATCTTGACCTTCAGCCTGCATTGTCCTGAACAACTTCAAAGCCTCAATGGGAATCTTCACACGAACATATCCAACAATCATCGCAGTCCAAGAAACTACATTTCGGCTAGGCATGTCATCAAATACCTTCCGAGCTGCATCAATATCACCGCAGACTATAAATCCATTAAGCAGGCTAGTCCAAGTAGAAACATCTCTGTCCTGCATACAGTCAAAAACACGTCTGGCCAGGTGTGTTTTTGCTACCCGACTATACATATCAATCAAAGCATTATCCACTATGGTTTCTTTCTTAGATAAAAATCTATACACCATGGCATGCACTGCTTTCCCAGAATCAAGATTCTTCATACGCGAGCAAGCCGAGAGTGCAGCCAGTACACAATGAGCATCGGGTCTTAGGGAACTGGAGCTCAAGCATTGAGAAAAGACAGAGAGAGCTTTGGAGGGTTGTTGGGTTTTCAGGTAGAGATTGATTAGAGAAGTCCATGACACAATGTCTGGGACAGAAATTTGATCAAACACCTTCTGGGCAACGGCGGGCTTGTTCAGTTTCACGTACACGTTGAGCAATTTGCAGGCGAAGAACTGGTCGGAATTTCCATTTTGTGTGAAAAATCCGAAGATTATCGAGTGAGCATGAATTTGTTTGATCAAATTCTCGTAGGTTTCGCATCTGTCAAGTAGATTCTTCAAGCTAGCCTGTATAAGTCGTTTGCTGTTGTTTTTGATCATCTATTGCTAAACTTTCTGCAGGTCTTGTAAATTATTTGACCTTCTATTCCGCTTCTAACTCAATTACTTTTGACTTTCTTGCCGACTGTAATCGGGTTGACCACCTAATAATTCTCGTATTTAAGTGTTAATAATAAGAGTATAATTTTTTTTCGTTATGGTTCTTAATGGCGGATTTGGCATATGTCTCACTATGAATAAAACTTTAATTCGCTAATTTTCAATATGATTTATATCGACTTTCTTCTTTATTTTCTTATTAGTACATATTAATGTTAATTTTCTCTCAAATTTCAACCCCTATTCCCCTATTCCCTTGATGACTGTCGCAATTTGAAAAGTAAATATCGTGTTACCTCTTTCCCCAAGGATTTTAAATCACTAATCAAGTCATCAGCTCTAAATTTCGGGACAATCATAACAAATATCAAGATCTCACAAGAGTTTTATTTTTTTTGGACCAAAACGTAGGACATTACGCCAGAGCCAAAGCTACTTCTTAGTACCATTGTCGTAATCCACTCGGCCGATCAACACAAATCCTCCATTGTAATTTTTTTTCTAATTTAGCAGTAGAATAGAACTAACAGGCAAGGAAAGGAGATAAGCGTAATAAAACAGTCTAGTTCTCGCGAGATAAGTTAACACTTGAGAGAATTAAGTTGAGTTCCTACGTTGGTTTGTACTTAAAAATACACGGCATATGTAACACGGGCACTAGCCGAAAACAAACATCTAACCCCAGAGAGATGATTGGCTTCGAATGTTATATGCTATTCGATGTTCACGCGAACAACTTTTTTGCCTCTCCGCCTTCCATCTGGTTCGCCTGCGCCAGTTTCACCATAGTTTTCAGCAGGAGGAAGAGCATAGCCACCCCAGTTGTTCCAAGCAGGAAATCCCTCCCATCCGATCCAGTTTGCACCTAAACATATTCAAATTGAAAAACGGTTACACCATATTCATGTAATGGATTGAGAAAACAAAACGAGAATTCAGTATTTCAGGACCATTAATTAAGATTACACATGCAAGAGTGGGGAGTGTGTGTACTGTGTACTATGCCCAGGTGGCAGGTGGGCTTGGCTCCATAAACACTTTACTATATGATAGATCATATTTGTCCTAATAAGAAAGTAGAATAAAAGTCGCAGATTGAATATTGTGAACAAGGGCGAAACAATCATCAGTTGATTCTCAAGCATCAAAGCTTCATGAAATAAACAGAAAGAAATTGAAACAGGAATAGTTCACCTCCATTTTCAAAGGGATTGAAGTTTGTGCTCCAGCTAGGTAAATACTTTGAAGCAGAAGTATTCCAATTTTCTTCAAAGCCGGTGAGTTCATCTGTCCAAACAAATCCAATATCAACTTGGGTGTTTGAATTGGATGAAAGAACATTTTAGTTCAAGGCGCTCGGAGGGAAAACTAACCTTCATTCAGATTGTGTAAAGTCTGCAATGAATCCACACTACCATCTGATTTTTTCTTCTTTGTAACAGAATGGCCCTGCACAAGCAGAGATTATTGAAAAGCTGGCACAACAAAACAATTTCTCTTTATTACTGAAAGATGATTCTTTCCATCAACAATATGAGCTACATACTGATAAACACCGGAAAACATGCTCAAATTACCAGCAGCAGAAACAGCACTTAGTTACTTTACCTTATTACGGATTCCCTTAGAAATTGTATGCAGTGATTCACCAACCATCCTATTATCTTCCTTCATTTCAGCAAGAAAAACCTAAAAAAAAAAAAGAAAAAGAAAAAAAGGAAAACAGGACAAATGAGTATGACCACCAGAACTAGTAAGACAAACTGTTTCACAATTAAGCAATAACAGACCCCATCACCACCGGCCATCCCACTCTCAGAGCAAGAGTATTGCCATCCTTCTGGACCACCATATGCAAACCCACGAAAGGTATAACAAGTGTTACCTGTAGCAAAAAGGCCTAAAGAATTGCACTCCAGAATATGCAGTTAACCCAGTGAACTGAACAGATTTTACAGTTGGATTGCTCATTACCATTAGCATTTCTGCTGGGCTTGTTGCTGATAATTTCCCTGCCAGCATTCGAGTTTTCTGTACCACCATCATCAAGGTTGAGTTCCTCAACTGTAATTGGCTTACGTGACCCGAGTTGATCATCAAAGGGGCGGGAGAAAAAGGGATCATCAAATGGATTCCTCTCACCAAAGAAGCTTTTCAATGGTTGAGTGAAAAATGGGTGATCAAATGGATCATTTTCTCCAGAAAACCACGACATTCTGCACAGAAACATAACATAAATAGACCACATTAGAACTTGGACATACAACACCAAGACGAAAAGGAGAAAATCGAGATACACAAAACCAATCCCAGACTAGAATTCAGAACATTGAACACAATATGGAAACCGTCCACTGCGAAGGAAGGAAGAGAGCAAGGGCAAGAGAAAAGAAAAGAATTCTTCAGGTCACATTGTTTCACAACTAAAACCAGAAACATCGCTTTCGGTGTACCAATTGAGGCAACAAAAATTCCTTTCATATAATCTGAACACAATTCCAGAGAAATCAATTATACACGTAAAACCACTCTCACACACCCCACCTTCAATTGTTTCGCTTCTAGCTTTGAAATTGCAAATCCCATAATTTGTTTTCGACAATTCTTCATACGGAAGCCAAAATTCAGCAGCGTAGTGGCATTTATAGCTCACTCCACACACAAAGAAAACACTAAATTGAACCTCAAGACCTAATCAATTCTCTTCCGAAACAAAACCCAATGAGAAATTAGCCTATGAGCAGTTCTGTCAATATGATGGAAGCATAAGGAGCGTAAAATGCAGAGAGAAACTTTACCTCGAAACAGAGAGTACGGATTCTGGTTGTCTGAAGCAAAGGGGAAGAGTTTGTCAAATTGGCAATAAGAAAGGAGGAGTGCGAAACTAGAAACTGAATACTGAAGCTTCCAGAAGGTAATAAAAAATAAAAATAAAAATCTTTTTAAAAGTGGTGCAAATTGTGTCTTCTTCTTTTCATTTTTTTAAGGCATAACTAATTAACTATAAATAAATTGATATTTTTTTATATTGTTTAAAAAAGTGTGTTTATTTATTGCGTACTTGAAATTAGTATTTCCTCTGTCCCAAAATTAATGTCCAATTTGAGATTTCACTTTTAGTACAAATTGACGGAGGGAGTAACTGAACTTGCCTATCATACGAAGGGATCTTGCCCATAATCATTTCTTTTTAATAATTATTATTATTTTTCCTACAATGAAACAGGCAACAAAATCATAATGATGCCGATCAATCACATCATATTTCAATTAGGGTTTAACACTTTCAAGTGATTATACTCCTTCCGGACTTTATGCTCGATGTGAAATAATTGATTACAAAATTAGCCTCTCAATAAACAAAACACAAGTGCATACTTGACACTCTCTCTAGAATTGCTTGTCGTTCTTTACGAAAAGTTGAAAACTGTGCGCACTGGTCACAACAAATGTACATATTGCCGCAAATACTATTTAAACAACTCCATAAAGTAAAACCCCTCTGAATAAAAAACAATATAAATTGTGAAGAAAAAGAAAACAAATTAAATTAAAACACAAATTAATCACCCCACATGTATTAAAAAACAAAAAATAGAACTGTATAGCTCAACAAAATTGGAGAAACCACACTAGCTAGTTGGAGGGAGTTAGAGAGATTTAACTCCTTTGTTTAACTTCTTAGCCGTCTAGAACACATAATTTTACTAAACTAGATTTGTTTAAGACGGGAGAAATAACCTAAAAGTTAATCTTCATCATAACATAACCTTCTTTCACAATAACATTTAAGCCAGCCGAGTAAAAACGTGACAACTGCAATGAAGCCAAAGAGAAAAATCATTTTCGTGACGTGGTCGACGTTGTCGGAAGATCCTGGAGGTTCCCCATATTCTGGCGGCGGTGCTAATAAAGCATCAAGCAGCATCTTTTTTTCTCTTTTACCTACCTTCTTCAATGATTTTTCTTTTTCCCTTCTACTTCTTCTTCTTCGTCTCTTGTGCTAATTCAGAAATCATGATCAGAAGGAAGTACATATACAGCTAGGGTTTTTGTTTTTTTGGTACGACTCTAGTTTCACAAAACAATAATTTACGTTAATGAGTTCCAGCTCCATGATGGTATATTGTTCGCGTTAATTAATTCAACTTAGAGATTTCGGCAACATTCTATTCTATTCATTGTAATTTTCTTCTTCACTTGCTTCTTTTTTATGATGATAATATTTAATTGAACAACAGAACAACTTTTTATTTTCCTTTATAATAGTTACCTTTCCGGAGATAATTAATTAACTAGGTTTTTTTTTTAATTTTTATTTCCCGATTCTCAAGCCAACTTATAGTTAATTTTCTCATAATTTTTCTATTTCATTTTATAATTCTTACTAGATGTTAAACCCGCACGATGTGCGGGTATGTTACAATACTTTTATGAGTTTTTTTATGAAATATAAAAATGTTGGTTACATATGTATAAATCTTGTGAAATATTAATTATTAAAATTTTGAGCAAAGTAAAATGTGTTTCTCTCTCTGATTTCTCTCTTAGTACAATACTATAGATTACATATGTATAAATCTTGTGAAATATTAATTATTAAAATTTTGAGCATAGTAAAATGTGTTTCTCTCTCTGGTTTCTCTCTTAATATAATACTGTTGATTACATATGTATAAATCTTGTGAAATATTAATTATTAAAATTTTGAGCACAGTAAAATGTGATACATGAAAAATAATTAACTAATTTTATGACTAAACATTATGTAAGTTTGTCATCATAATTATATGTCATAAATGGAAGTATTTCACAAATTGTATCGAAAAAAATTAACAATATAATAATAAATAGTATCGCATAATCAAATTAAAAATATCTCAGTTTCATCCAATAACAATTTATTCAAATGACTCAAAGATGATAAAATAATGTTGATATCATCCATCATACTTTTAGAGAAACTCATTGTTGTGACTTGCAAAACATGTTTAAAAAAAAAGTTTGTATAGTACTATGTCGACAGCTTCTCTGAGAATATTTGCCTTTTTTAAAAAATAAACAACCAAATTAAATTCATGACAAGTTTACCTCTTCTTTTTTGCCTCTTCAAATGCAGCTGTTATGGCCTTAAACTCCGCCATTATCACAAGTTAACATAGAGGCAATAATAATAAAAAAGAGAGAGAGAGAGAGAGAGAGAGAGAGAGAGAGAGAGAGAGAGAGAGAGAGAGAGAGAGATATATATATATATATATATATATTAAAATTTTTACCTTCACGATGTCACGTTTTGATTTGGGTATATATAGCTTTGAAAGTTTATCATCCCTAAGGATACACACTTTGATTATGATACAAAGTTTATCATCCGGTAATTGATTATGATACACACTTTGTCACTTAAAATTCAAATTCGAATTTTATCATTAATTTTTGTTTTTATATCTGGTTAAGTGACACTAATTTTGGTATTAAATGATGTTTAAATTTGAAGATAGAGTTTAAATGCTAATTGCACAATTTTTTATATACCAAAAAATAGTAGGATACCACAATCAAAATAAAAATTATGTAAAATATTAACACATTTAATGCTCATTATGATAATAAATTATTTCAAATTTTAAAATTCATTATGAGCTGAGATTTTGAAGGAATGTGATAATGTGTTTTTTTTTTTTGGAAAATTTGCCCTTTTTAATTTTTTTTTTTTTGTAATAGGAGGACTTATTCATAATTTCACTTAGTATTTTTTGAGAAAATATTTGAGAAAATGACACATAGAAATTTATCCTATTTGGCATCTTTAGAAATCCTTTTTGTTTTCTCTCTTTGGTTTCTCTATAATACTATAGATTGATTATATTCAACTTTCTGATAAAAAAAAAATTCAGCATTAAATTTGATTAATGTTAAATTTTCAACTTTCCCCATTAACCATAATTCTTACCCTAGTATTGACCAAATCAGCACTAATTATAAAAAATCAACATTAACTATAATAAATACATACTGTAATTCTGAGTTAGCTGAATAAAAAAACTGTATTAATTTTGATTAGTGAAAAAGTTCATATCAGTATTAATTTTACTTTTTGAATTTATATGGTATTAATGTTGATTGATTGATCCATTATTAATTTTTTTGAATTGTTTGATTTTTTAATCAAATTATATTCGAATTTGCCGGGGGAATGGATTTGATTGCATTAATTGATTAGGATTAAGATAGAACACTGATTTATGACCGTACATTAACTCTTCCAATCTTTCCATTTACAATTAATGATTTAAATGAGATATGATAAAATTTATTTGATTAAAATCCCAAGGACTTTTAGTGTAATTGCATAAACTTTTATTTCTGTCATTTGTCAGAAAAATGATACATAGGATTTTATCCTATGTGGCACCCTTAAAAATCTTCTTTTGTTTCTCTCTCTGGTTTCTCTCTTAATATAATACTATAGATTACATCAATTGACCAAGCCTAATTTAAATGGTAGCCCATATGTAACAATTTTACCATATATATGTAACACATAATAATTATATCACGAGGCGTGTTACACGCCGCCAGGAAAAAGATAAATACCACCGTAAAAAAAGATAATTTTGCCATTTTCATTTGGATATAGACCGCATGGTAAAAGATGTAGACCGCCGTAAAAAATACCATTCAACTCTTTTCATTTTTTCAGTCCAAAATGAGTGATTCAGAGGTAAGGAAAAAAATGATTAGACTTGTGGAATTTCAGGCCGAAATAGGCCAAGCCGGTAGAAATACCGTCCGGAAGAGGTCGAGACGATGGGCGTGCTGTCCCGCTTGGCCTAGACGGTGCTTCTGCCGGTTTCAAGTGACAAGGCCCAAATATTAAGTAAATTTGGCCCAATAAATTTGGTGGACTTGGGCCCATTTAGAAGTATTGGGTCAAGCCCAATAATTGAGAAATTCTAGAATGTTCTAAAACTATCTTGAGGCTTGTAGAATATTAAAGAAGATGAGTAGAATCTTGTGGTATTGTCTGGAATATTGTGGAGATTTCTAGAACATAATAGAATAGTGGAAAAAGTTGTAGGAATTCTCTAGATTTAGGATTTTTAATACGTTATGTAGAATTATCTAGAACTTTAAGAGTTTAGGGTTACCAATTATAAATACCCCCAAGGCCCCCCATTGTGAAGCATGAAGAATTCAAGGTGTTGAATTCTAGTTCACAAATTCTCTCAACCTCTCTTTGAGTTCTCATTCTTTCCTCCTTTTCTTTAAACCTCAACTTTCCAGCTAAGTTCTTTTCAAGAATTTTGAGAGTTTTAAGGGGCAGGCTTAGCTAGCATTCTTCATTAGGGGTCTAGGGTGCTAGTGCTGCACAGTTTTAACTTATAAAATAATTAGCCCGTGACACTAGGACCAGGGATGGCAGGGCCGCCGGCCAATAGGGTCGGCAGCTGTGGCGGCCATTTTAGTCATGTTCGCTGCCCATAGCGTCCAAGTCAACATGGAACGCTGGGGCTGCCATCCCTTACTGTGCGAGCCAGTGTGGAAACCGGCTCGCTTATCTCGGGCGGGTGTGTGCTGCGGCCCGGGTTTTTTTTTTATTTTTTTAAATTTCAGTTTTATTGATTTATTTAGTTAATTTATCGTGTTTTATTAATTATCGTATCATAATTAAATTGAATAGAATTCATATAAGTTATTTATTCATGCAAATCTATTGTTTTATGCCATTTTAAGTTTTTTTTTATTTAGTAAGAGTAATTAGATACTCTATTAATAAGTTATTTAGAGTATCTGTTTGAAAGTTGCAAGATACAACTGAAAATGAAGATCATAGTGTTTATTTTGACACTAATGAGATATTCCAATCAGAGGATGGCGCTATTTTGCGCTCACAAGAG